AATAAAATGAAATAAACTGAATGAGTGATACACACACATAGAAACGAATATTCACCATCCAATACACATATGCTTAAGATCAAGTATATATATTACGAACTCAAGTTATCGATAAAGTCTACTTAGAACTTGATCGATTTAGCTGTTATTGAGTTTCAATAATTTCGGATGTCACATCTCGCCACGTAAAGTCATGGTAGTATTCTTGGTTGATTTGACATCCGTGTCTTCTGATATAACTAAAAAATTATATTTAAAAATAATACGTTATGATTGTCTAAAGAATTGTCTAATACTGCTGCAAAGTATTTTAACAAATATGACTAATTATTATTATACTTTTTATTTAACACAAAATGCGAAATGAAGAATTTGTTAATTATCCATAATATTCGTAAATTCAATTGATCAGTCACTTTTAATCGTTGAAATGATGACAAAATCAATAACTTGCAGTATTTCTATATACTTAATTTAAAAAGTTATATTTTCTAACTACAATTATTTTTCATTAAAATGTTGTGTACGTGTTTATTATCAAATAAACGCAATAACTGTTTCAATTAATAGAACATATAGTTAATTAATAGAACATCAATTAATAGAACATATTCGACTATATTCTAAAGATATTTATTAGATTCGGAAAAATAAACGGAGATCGACTGAATTTGAACTCGGGATCCCTCGCTTACTATCAAGACGCTTAGTCTGCACGATCGCGGTTCCTTTCTATTAGCTGTTTATATTCCGAATCTCTTTCATGACCGCTTACGGTCGTTTATTTCTTACAGCTCGGCCATTCTGACATTACATTCGTCCCGAATGTACCGAGTCTTCATCTATCGAGATTTTATCCGAAACTTGGAGCTTCTGCTCCCGAATTTGTTCATCTTGAACGACACCTAAAATCGACTGACTTCTTGGAGCTCCCGACAACGCGCATCCAATGCGTGTGCCTTCTCGAAGGAGAGTATCCTTGTCAGGACACCCAAATAATACCCAAATTGACTGATTTCTCGGAGCAACTCCCGGCAATGCGCGTTCGATGCGAGTGCCTTCTCGAAGGAGAGTAGACCTCCTGTCAGGTAGGTCGTATCCTCTCTAAGGGATAACATGGGCTGAATCCCATTTCTGAGCTGAAAGATATTTATTAGCGCGACGGCTCCTCTCTGTTAGGTGTTTATATTCTGAATCTCTTTCATGATCGTTTATGTCTAATTCTTACACTAATTACACGCGCGCGCGCGCGCGCGCGTGCACACACACACACACACACACACACACACACACACACACACACAACAACGAAAAGAATAAAGAAATAAAA